CAACAGCATATAAAGAAAATCTGTATAAGATGTTTTACAGGTGGCATTTTCCCCCGACAAGAATAGCAAGAATGTTCAAGAATAAATCTGAAAAATGCTGGAAATGTCATCAGATACCTGGCTCATATTACCATATGTGGTGGACTTGTGAGGATGCTAGAAAATATTGGACTAAAATTCGCATATGGTTGGAAAAAATGACAAAGAAACATATAGATTTAAAACCAGAGATTTTTTTATTGGGAATCTTACCTGATACATACAATAAAAATTTGAAATATTTGATTGTAAATGTATTAACAGCGGCTAGGATTGTATTTGCTAAAAATTGGAAGAGTGAGAAAATACCATCACAGGAAGAAATTATTAAGAAAATATTGGAATGTGCTGAAATGAGTAGATTGACACTTGAAATTAGAGAACAAGAAGATAAACAATTCTATGAAATTTGGGACCTTTTCTATCAATGGCTAGATAATAAAATATAATAATAGAATATTTAGAATCTTAGGAAACAATGAATATATATTTCTTTTTTTTTCTTTGATATTATCTTTATAAAATTTTATTAAGATAGACTAGGCATGATTTTATGACTTGCTATAAAATAAATTAAGTAAACTATAGTTATCTCGCTAAAGTATGAATTAATAAAATTATAGTTAAATGATTGTTTAATAATGATACCAGACTATATAATTGTTGATTGATAATATGAGCTATTATGTAATATAACTACAATGGAGACTATGAAATGGATGCACAAAAAAAAGTGGTAAACCAACCGATACACTGTCTGTAAACTTATGAAGGAAAGGATGATGTTTTTATGTTTTATGTGTTTTTGTTTGTTGTCAAAATCAATAAAACTGTTTTCAAAAATAAAATAAAATTGCAGAATAGCTATATTTATAGTCTTTTTCTCTTGATCTCTGTCTTTGTTCCCTATTGCCTGGCCATTAGACATGGTGGATAAAACTTGTTATGTTTCTGTACCAACCTAGAGGGCAAATCTGGATATAGCCTGGTTTACCACCTCTTCCTGTTGCAAAGCTTTTACATTCCTGGCTGTAGTATTTTGCCATGATTGGACATGTGAAGAAATTCAACTGCAAGGGGATTCACTGAGTGTGAAGGGTTGTTCCTGCAAGGTATCCAGTAGGCTTACTTCAATTAGTCTATTTGAAAGAGGCGCTGAAAGTGGTGGCATCTGCCAAAGATTGTTTATGTCCCAATATATATATATATATATATATATTTATATATATATATTATATATTTATTTATATATATATTTCTTTATAACAAAGTATTGGGTGAGTTCAAATGCTGGCAGAAATATGATACAGCAGGATTCCTGCACAGTTACTGTGGGAAAATATATAGGAAAAGTGAAGTCTGCCTTATATACTGCATTTGTTATTTGTAAGCAGGTATTTGGTAAGAGATAGTACAGCAGGACAGAATTAGGCTGTCAGAGGAGAAATTTAAGTAAAGCTTTGTTACGTTTCCATATGAATGTTACGAGAAATCACTAAAATGCAGATAGGCAGAGAGTGATGCTTCTCAAAGTATATGATGCAGTGATCCCGTCACTGCCTCCAATAAGACTGAAGAGGGCACTCTGACCTTTATTCCACTTCCATAGTAAGCAATTGCTGGTACTATATTAACTTAACATTCATGGTGTTTTCAAAAAACACCCAGAAGCCTGACTTGAATAATTAAAGGACAAAATTTGAACAGCTGGTTCACATCATAAACTACATTTATATGCAATTCAGTGAATTTTGTATGCACCTATTTTTTTCTTTACAGAAGAGGAGATTGGTATATTCTGGCATCCATCAATATTTGGCAGCTAAATCCCAAGCATGAGGGGAATTAGGTATAGGGAGTAAGATCTTTCTTCTTGAGACTATCTTCTATCCCTCTCTAAGGCAAGTGTTTCAAATGCTGGCTCCCCAGAAAATAATCCCCAGTCCGTGATTGCTAGAGGTGGAAGCTGCATTGAGAGAACTTTTACAGAGATCAAGTTCTACACAAGGAATTCAATGCAAAAAAAAAAATGTGGCCAACAAGGAGGTGCAGAAGGATGACTGATGAGTTCCGAAGGGATGGCTGACATGAAAACACAATGAGGGATGGCTGACATGAAAACACAATGAAAGGCACTGAATACACTCTTAAGGAGTTAATCAAATCAATTCCCATCTCTCTCTGGGAGAGAGGACTGAGTGAAGCCCTAGAGCAGGGGTCCCCAACCACCGGTCCGCAGACCGGTACCGGTCCGTGGAACAAGTCCTACCGGGCCGCTGGCTTGCTGGGCGCTGCCATCTTGTTTTGATGAAAAAGTGCTTCCGGTGAGCTTTTCCGGGTAGAAAGCTCACCGGAAGCACTTTTTCATCAAAACAAGATGGCGGCGCCCAGCTGATGTCGGTACCGGGCCGCGCCATAAAAAAGGTTGGGGATACCGGGCCGTGGCGTAAAAAAGGTTGGGGATCACTGCCCTAGAGGACTTTGAGCAGAAGATGGGAGAGGAAAAGAGAAGACCATGAGGAATATTTCAGGTAACTCTGGCAGAAGCAGAAGCAACAGGGAGAAAGGGTGGAAGAGGATCAGTAGAAGGAATCCAAGGAGAAAGATCTGGGGTGGGGGGAGCTATACCTGTGCCTGTGAAATTGCATAGGAAAGAGACAGTGGGGGATCTATGAGCCCTGGTGGGGCAGTGGTTAGAATGCAGTATTATAGACTAACTCTGCCCACAACTTGGAGTTCAATCCTGATGGCACTCAAGGCTGACTGAGCCTTCCAGCCTTCCCAGGTTGGTAAAATGAGGACCCAGATTGTTGGGGGCAATATGCTGACATTGTAAACCTCTCAGAAAATGTGGTAAAGCAGTATGGAGCAGTATATTCTTATTCCTATTGATATCTACAGTATTATCCAGCTCTGTTTGAGCAGGTGACTAAAACACAGGACTAGCCACAAAGAAGTTGGATTGCTAAATTAGCCCCATGTTTGGTTGGAAGAGCCCTTCATGCATTCACATAAATTCTAATGGTCAAACTGAAGATTTATAATGCAATAAAAGAGGCAATTCTCCAGTGTTTTGACTTAATCTCTCAGGCCAATAGGCAGAAGTTTTAATCCAGGCCATGTTTGAAACATGGGCCACCCTGAAGGAGATAGTTATCAACTAGTACAACTTAATGTGCCGAGTAAAACTATGCACGACCTATTGCAACTAGGTGTGTTAGAACAGCTCATATAGAACAGGAACCAATAATTTGATACAAGTATTTGCCATACCTCTGGTTGGCTCCAAATTTACTGGATTCAACCTATTCGAACAATTGCATGAAAAGCAACCCAGAGAGCTTCTGGTTGTAGTGACAGACACATGGTTCGTCAGACCCTTGGAGGGAAAGAAAAGTGTTCTGTCGCCAGTAAAGAGACTCGCAGACCGGAGTTGAATTCAGCTCTTTAATAACAATCAGTAACTTCAACTGCAGTCGAGCTGCAGCAGCCCTTTTTATAGCGGCTGCTCCGCGGCTCGCAACCAATGACATTTATTTAACTTCCCGCTGCTATAGGCGGCCAATCAGATACTAACGTTACTAACCAATCGTATTGTTGCTTTTGCTAACCAATAGGAACATCGCCCTAGAAGTCTCTATTTAAATACACTACAAAAAGTATACTCTCTTATATAATAAGATATTATATAAGTTATATATGAAATTGAGAGAGAGGCTAAAGCACATCAAATTCTTCCAAGCATGGGATAAGCTATTGTTCTTACTTTGAAGCTTATCTAAGAAGTTAGAGGTTAAAATAGCAAGGACCATTCCAAATCATAGAGGATGGGTTCGGTAAACTACCAAATAACACTGAGAACATAAAAGTAAAAAAATGTCCATGTAAATGTGCTAACAAAATAGAAAGAAGGAATGTAATGGACATTTGTACAGATTACGAGAATTTCTTCTATATACCAAAGCTAATTTTTATCATTAAAGTGAGCTAATTGTCCCTTTATTTGTTAGTGGGCCAATGCCCTAAAGGAAAAGGATATGTGGCATATAGATTTTGTGGCTGGCTAGGCACGGCTGCTGCTGGGCTGGTATGAGTCAGCCAAAAAATAAAAAATATAGAGAAAAAGCTCAGTTTTTTTTTTAAAAAAGACAGATATTCTACACATGTTCAAGTTGTGGTTGGTAAACGTAGCCGTACAGTTTTATGGCTTTCTTATTTAGCCAGGGTTTTCAGTTTGAATTAGATAGTGGTTGATATTAACATTTGAAAAGTATATTATAATGCCTTAAAATTTAAGGCCATGGCTGTATTATGAAATTGAAATGATTTCAATTATTTTTTGTCATAATGAAGAATATAAATAAATAAAAATAATGCAGTAAAACAAATGAAAAAAATTGAAACAAAAACATTGTTTGTTCGTTTGTTTATTTCATTTATATCCTGGGGATAAGTAGCTTTTATGGAGCTGCAAAAGTGTGCAAAATAAATACAATATTTTCAGATACACCACACCGGTATATGCTCTCCATATCTATGTCACATGTAATGAACAGTGACATGTTGATAGAAGCAGAAGCATAACAACATATTTTGGATTTACAATAAAATTTAATATGAGAAAAACACAACAGAGCAATATTGTATTGCATTGTTATTATATACTCAATGTAATGTATCTTCTTGCTCTGGAAAGTGGCACTGAAGGGCTAAAAAAATCTTACTTCTCCCCTCCAGCGCACGAGATAAATATCTTCCATTTGCTTAACATGGAAATCTAGAGAGAAATAGCTTCAAATCTTCCATTCTCTTTGTCTGCTCTGGAAAAACCATTTCCAGGATAAAACTCTGAAATGCAGCAATGATACATATGGTGTTTGTTCTAACATAAGTAGTCAATAATGTTCATGATACCCCTACATGTCACATTAATCATTATTAATAGACAATTCAAAACCTACCTTTAGTTAGTTTAGCGTGCCTCATCAGTACATAGACATGCATTCTTCCATTCTCTGTTCCTAATACTTAGTGACATGAGAACCGGAAAAACAATACTGAGGTAATGATTTGGCCAATGTGAATATTTTTCTTGTTTGAGGAAATTGTTTAAAGAATGCTGAGCATATACAAAGGTTAAACTCTTGTTTATACATAAGTTGGATATTTCTGCTCAAATGCCACTGAAATGAATGGCAACTACACAATAGCCTGCACAGCAGTCCTTAATGGTTCATTGCCTCCTCAATTGTTCTTTTGATCACGGCTCTCCACGACTCTCATTATTCCTAGCCAATGTGCATGTTGTCAGAGAATGATTGAAACTATAGTCTATAGCATATGAAGATATTAGGTTAGGAAGCAAATGTTTTAACTGCATGGTATCTTAGAACTATATCCACAGATAAATACCTAAGCATTTCAAACTACAATTTGGGCAAACCTATTTTCCTATAAATATGATTTTGTTTAGAAAAAAATCTTTTTTTGAAAAAAAAAAAGGATTCTAACAATTATTGTATCACAATTCTAATCTATAATGAATCTAAAGACTATGAATCTTACATTACAAACATTGATTTAAGTTCTTTTATAAAAAACAGTAAACAAAATCGTTCTGTAACTCCTAGCTTTTGAATGTTGCAAGTAGTTGATGGACACAATTAACAGGGTTGATGGGACTTGAAGGAACTTGTTAGGACATATTATCAAGGAGAACATCTATATTGATGGTCACTAAGAGTTGACAATAACTTGATAGCACATAATCAGCCTACCAATTCTAAACACAATTATTAGAAGCAGTATTGAATAGGAAACATTTTTCTTTAATTTATGTATTTAAATCCTGTTCAAAACTCCAACATAGAGTTTTCCAAACAATAGAATTTTGCAACCATAAAGGATAGAACCACAAAAATACATATAAACAGCAGAGATAGCTTTAATTTAAAAAAATCTTTGAAAAATCAAGGAATACGTTTGGATTTAGTTGAATCAGAACACAGAGGTATTTAGAAAAGCATCATAAACCTTCTGGTTTATGACTGATACACAAACCCTGCAACTACCCTATTTGTGGAAAGTGGAAAAAGAACATCCTTCACACTGAAGAAGAGAGCGTACCAGATATATGTACCCAGACAACACACTGTTTAAATGAAAGATGATTTGTTGTAAATACAAAATAAAAAACTTAATAAAAGAAAAAGAAAAGAACACCCTTCCTTGTGACTATAAACTGTAGACAAAAAACACCTCTAAGAATTAACATAAGTTAGAATATTTGAAAACGTCACTCTTTATCTGCATAATGGAAAATTTCTTTGACCCAGTGACTGATGAATGAGATAACAAATGCAGTTCTGTTACTGTCAGGAAATGAGGTTGTAATGCAATTGAATTAATAGGAGGTCCTGGTGTGTCTTGTAGATGAAACCAACTCAAAGTTAAGTCATTTCTAGATAGCCTGAAAATATATCTTCTTGATTTTTTCCTTCCCCCTCACTGCCAAATCTTTACACACTAATATGAGCTGTCCTGTGATTATGAGAGGGAGATTCATATTAGAACTATGTATTAGAATGCTAGTCAATGGAGGTCTATCTGTCAACTGGAATTCCAGTAAAAGAAAGTCCTGGGACATTATTTTTACCAAGAGCATAAACTTTACTGAAAAAAACCCCCACAACGCACAGAAAAAGCGAAACCAGCTCTGGGATTTCCTGCACAAAAGTAAGCATAGTTAATTCTCCCTTTTCCCTATGGGCCACCCACAGTCCAAAACATCCACCAATCACACATGTTCATTTCGTTATGGGAAACAGTCTGCAATGCTGAGGCATCTGCTCAGTGTGTCCTTGGGATGCCAGCAATGTCCCATGGTGCCTACGGATGCTTGAATACCATTCTCCCTCCCCTATGTTCCCCCCTCCCCGTTATTGTCAAGCTGTGAGTGAAGAAGAAATATAGATGAAAGTGCAAATCAGTCTTGAAACTATGTTTCTTCTGTAGGAAGTTATCAGGGCAATTCCTAAAACAATGATTGTGGAATCATTCCAAAGAAATGAATGGCACATGAATAGCCAACATGGATTTATTTTAACTGGATTGTATCTATCTAACCTTATTTCCTTTTTTTGGGCAAGCTAACTTTTTGAGAATGCTGGGAAATGCAAAGTTGTCTTCATATGTATTTTTTCATTTAAAGGAACATGATTAAAAACTTTATATTTTTCAATGAGCCAAAGAAAATGAATTGTTTTTCTGAGTTTTTTAAGGCAAGCTTCCATCTTTAAATTAGTGTACAAATACCATACTCAAAAAGTAGATTGTCACTATTTTTTTCTGGTATAGATACTATTTGTTGGTCCTTAGAATTCTTACAATATTTATGAGGAAAAATACTGTAGGAGCAGTGCAGGGATGAGAAATATAGTCCTTTAGAGGATTCCTTCCATTTATAAATAATAAGTATCAGGATCTAGATTATTTTTTTTAGAGGAGAGGATGATAAGGTCGAAAACTCATCCTTTAATCTCCTTTCATGCTTTCTTGGAAAGCCTCCACAAATACAAATTTCTTGCAGAGACATATATACAGTCTATGGTTTGAACTTGCTTAATTTGATTTAAAATTTAGGAACTAGTTGATCTGATACTACCTGAGTACATTCATACATAAATTTCTAGACCTAAACTCCATAAAAATCCTGTCCTTTTCTCAATATGCATAGATTTAGGTTTGATGCTGCTGTTCACAAGCTAAGACCAAGAGAAGAATATAATTGCCTACAAAAATATGTGGGTAAGCAATATATAAACTATATAGATTGAGAATGAAAAGGCAACTATAATTTTACTTCTTGCTCTTTGTGCATTTTTAAATGTCTATTACTTTATGCTCTTTCTGGGACATATAGTACTAACCCTTAAACAGACAAGTAGAAAAATGATTATTCAGCTTTTAACTGGACTTTCTGAGAAGTTCAGGTCAATCAACTAATTAATTATCTTGGTTAAGGGTCACTAAGATCACTCATTAGCATTTTGTTATCTTTTTGTTAAAATCTGGCCAGATAAGTTGATTTATCTATATACTCTGTCCTTTGTAGCAGCAAGAAAAATTGTGAGATTTGTGCTTGGAAACAGAGGTCTCCCCAGAGTGATTTTAATAGTGTTGTCTTACTTAGTGAGATTAAAACCCTAGTAGCATCATACTGCCCATAATTCTAATGTTGTAAAAGCCAAGAGAAAATAAATTGGGAAAGAGGATTTAGAAGATAGCTGAAACAAATACGGCAGATTCCTTTAATAAGATCTTATTAAATACGAAGATTCTGGTTCAGGTATCTCTTGATGATGCTGGAGACCTATGCCCAGAAATCAAGATATAAAATTATGCTTTGCAATGATTGACAAATGAACTATATTCACAAATTAAATCTAATCACTCAAAAATTGATCTATTTAAGCTTTACAGAATAAGCCTGATATAACCTTGATGCCAAATTGTGTTTAATCACACTCTTAATCATATTTTCCCATTTGCTCATTCATATCATTTATTTATTTTTGTAATCATATCTAATTTAATAACAGATGCAATAGAGGAATCTGCAGAACATGCCATTCATTAAAATGAAAAATATCTCTTTCCGAAGAAAAATAACATTCAGCTGCAGTTCTAAACTGTAATACAAAATCAAATAATTTAAAGATAATTGGAGTTGCTCTTGTGATAAAAGAAAGCTGTCAAAGTCATATGCTTTGAAATATTTGAAATTTTTTTGGAAAATAAGTGATTTCTAATTGGACCACATCGCACGCAGCCAATCAAATCAAACCGAAACCAGACCATGACATCATCAGAAGACTACATCTGAACTACAACAACAGCGCTAATTTACATCACACAGATGATACTTAAAACCAAGGACTATGACTCAGCAACTACAGCTAGACAATCACACAATCCAAAATCAGACCAGGAATCAGAAAGGTATTTAAAGGCCAGTGCTCCAGTGGTGGGATTCAAAAATTTTTACTACCTTCAGGCATGGCTTGGTGGGTGTGGCTTGGTGGGCATGGCACAGGAAGGATACTGTAAAATCTCCATTCCCACCCCACTCCAGGGGAAGGATACTGCAAAATCCCATTCCCTCCCTACTCCACTAACCTGCTTTCTAGCTCTGTTCTCCTGTGCAGGGCAACAAAAGAAGACCCAGCTGATCAGCTGGGACTCAGGAGGCAGATAATAGATGGGGCGGGGCCAGTCAGAGGTGGTATTTGCCAGTTCTCTGAACTACTCAAAATTTCCGCTACCGGTTCTCCAGAACTGGTCAGAACCTGCTGAATACCACCACTGCAGTGCTCCTCCAATAAAACACAATCCAAAGCAAACTGAAGATGTCTCCTCAAATGGGGATGAAACATTTGCAACCAAACTGCCAAGCTCGGAGCTCAAACCAACAATGTAAGTGCTCTTTAATGATTTAGATTAGAAGACTACAAATATGTCAGAACATGCACATACATGCCAGAGTGATTAAAATAAACTCAAATGAAATGGGAAATAAAGAAAAGAGAGAGAAAATAAGATCCATTTCATAATATAAAACTAACTACTAAAAAGTTGCCTTTGGTTGTAGTATATATTTTAATAAATAATGATAAGGAAGAATTTTGAATGGTGCTAATGCATCTGCACCAAATTATAAAATCAAAAGAGTAGTGTTTCTCACTTTTAGAAAATCCAAACTTCATTTGCAATAATTCACATGGTTAAAAAAACTTCATAACTCCTTCTAAAGATACCTTGCAGCATTTAATGCTGGACATTTTGTAGAATTATGACTAAAAGAGACAGCAAGCTCTTGGAGAGATATCAAAGGACTCGCATAAACACTTTCTTAAAAACTTCATACATACATTTCTCTCACTTTATTAATATCCAAGATTTATAACCTGGACATTCTGTTCTATAAATAAACAAGAGGACATTATTGTAAGAATTCATTTTAAA